AAATACGCAAAAATGTTCTTTTTGAGTGACAAAATTAAGCGTGATGAATTGTCCATTTCTGACCTAAAAGGCCCTGCTCTGTTTTGCTCTGCTCAAAGCAAAACCAGAAGTTTCTGACACAAACCTAATCTACAAGGATGGGTCAAGGCCACTTATGCTCTGTGCTCATCTAAACTATTGCTTCTCCGAACAGCACAAGAAAGAAGAAAATAAGACAGAACTCTTTCCCTTTAAAAAATAATAATAATCAAATAACTTGTTAGTCCAAATAATGATGTGAAGCAATGTTAAATCAATCTGTGAAATGAGAATATTAATTACTTGATAGTATAATCCTATGATAGTATTTAATAAGTAATATAACTTTAAATACTAGACACTAGACCGATCACACGTAATGCTAAAATCACGCTACAAATTAAATTCAATTCAAGTTTACTTATATAGCGCCAAATCACGACAAGAGTCATCTCAAGGCACTTCACATAGTAAGTAGTAAGAAAACTACATTATCCTTTGGCTACTCAAAACAGATCTCTATGCACATAACAGACTGAATAAAATCATTATCAGTTCAGTGTTCAAGAAATTGTTTTGCACTCATCATCTCTTCATGATTCCAAAGCTGTAATGATTGGTTGAAAATGAACAAGACAAAGAAATCCGTGGGGGAGTGAAAGCACCAAGAGTGCAGCAGAGTGCCTTTTAGCTCTGCTTTAGCTGGAGAATCAGAAATAATTACTATCAACTGTCCTTCAGCTTCCCACAAGGGGTCAGTTCTCTGACATTCTAATCATTAAAGCTGTCCAGTTAAGACTGTCCATGGAGAAAAGCTGTTTTGATTGTGCTCCTCTTCCGTCCACTTGTCAACTCACTTAGAAGGAATTCTTAAGAGGAACACTCCATCGTGGAGGAGACTGAGTGACATGGACATTAAGGCAGCTGGATGGAATTTGATAGTTAGAATTCAGAGATGGACTAGAGCACCAGGTCACAAGGTGGAGCTAAACTGCTGTAGATCACATCTATAAAACCATATTTACAACAAGCCACAGAGTGGGGAAAAAAACTTTCCTTCAGCCAAGGTCAACGTCCAACCGTACATCATCAATTATCACTTTATTATCTTTAGCAGCAGGGCTTCATACTTGTGTCCTGGTTCAGAGGGCAACTGAGGTGACTGGAAAATGGATCCATTTGAAAAACAAAAGTAAGCTCTGATTTTTCTTCCACATTTTACAATCAGTCCTAGAAAGGGACACAGGCTAGTCTTCAACTGGCTACCTTATAGGTCTCATTCTCTTGCTTGTTGAAATAAATTAGCTGTGATCTCTAGTATGAGTGATTGCCTTGTGAGTTGTTTTCTGTGGTGAAAAAAAAAAACACTGGTGCGCCTGTTTCAGGATGTAGAAGTTAGGTGGAGGAGTGGGAAAGCAGAAAATGAGGATGTGACAGGACTATGCCTGGTCTCTGACTTGTCAAAACAATGCAAATGTTCCACTGCCTTTGCTCGCTCTTCTATCTTGCGTAAAAACGCAGCGTTGATGTAGTCGAGAAATGTAGATAAAGATGAAGGAAAGAAAAAGAAGACACACAAAACTAAGAAAAAGAAGATGACAAAGAAAAAGACAAAAAAAGGAAGACAACAAAAAAGACGAGGACAAAGAAGAAGATGAAGAAGACAAAGACCAAAAAAGAAGACAAACAGGATGACAAAGAAGACAAGAGGAAGAAGACAAAGAAGACTAAGAAGAAGATGAAGAAGACAAGAGGAAGAAGAAGACCAAGAAGAAGACTAAGAAGAAGACAAGAGGAAGAAGAAAAAGACCAAGAAGAAGACGAAGAGATGAGTTATATCCAAGCCTGAACGTGCTCCACCATGTTGTGTAGTTGGTAATGCTAATGTTAGCTTGTACTAACTGACATGCACTTCGATGTCTCCTTCCCATGGGCGGGGCCTTGAATACAAATTTTCCCTGCAGCGTAGCTGGGACAAGCTTTTTCTGATCGTTTTCCCATCTATTGTCTTTCTGTGTCTGACGCATGCGACGGGTTGGAGAACTTTTTCATGTTCAGCATGCATGTGCAACTCTGAGCGACCGATCAATTTTCTAATACTGTTTCTTAGCAAAAGAGACATTTGATACGGATCTGCATGACCTGCATCGACCTGTTGTTAAAAAAAAAAGTCAAATGACTGAGCACTTTATTAGAATAGGAAACAACAGCCTCAAAATCTAGACGGACAGAAGTTAAAGCAAAAACGATTTTGGTCTGCATGTTGGTCTTGCCATGCTCCATAGGAGCCTCAGCAGACCCAATCACAGCGCCGTATGGGTTTGGTGGACAGGATGATGTGACAGAGCGGAACAACTAAGATGCAGCGGCTCATTTGAAACGACTTTGGCATCAACTTTGGAATATTTAGACTTGGGCTTTTCTTTCAGTCAAGAGCAGATAGAGGTACTTACAGTAAGTCATTTATTTAGAAAAAAGGATGTATTTGTGCTTCGACAGTGTTTGGTCGACTGTCTCACCGACTGTCATTCGTAGCGATGAGTTTGTCATGTTCTTTGTCCAATAGCATGCAGAAAAGACAACCATAGATCCCACCCCAGGACTGTCTACGGCCAGACTTTAAATCCACATATATAGGACGGCTTGCCAGGCTAGGAAAACAATGGATCAAGCACAAAATATCCCAAACTTCTTTACTTTGTTTCCGGAAAATTAATCCAATGAATCCATCTGATCATGAAATGATAAGAAAAACTGAAAGTAACACCTCAATCTAATAAAAGATTTAAAAAAAAAAACAGATGACATTTTGGCAACAAATATGGGCTAAAAATAGTGAGAAATAAACAAATCGAGGCAGCATTTTATTAGCAATAAAACACTTATTCTTGAGTTTCTGGTTGTTGCTCGTGCAGCGGCTTGTCTGGTTATGCGTGAAAGGAAGGAGAGTAAACGTATTTTTCTATCTATTCATTGAACACTTAGAGGATTGTTGTGTCTGCCTGAAGGCGAACATTTAAATTCAAGTGGAATACAGAGCATGACAGGGATCTGAAATGATTTTATTTTCCTGTTTATAGAAGGAAAAATAATAATAGCAGCAGCCTTTAGATGAACTTGTCCTGCATTTTAATTTCACATGGAATGCACAGATATGTTGCATGACAGGATGAAACTAAATTACGTCATAAATATTTATAAATAGAGCAGAAATTATTTGTAAAATATTATAATTATTTCATTATAACATTTTTGGGATTGTAAAAAGCTGACAAGTTACAAATATCTTGAAATCTTGTTTCTGGGCAGCCTTGTGCAAGACAGTTCTTTTTATGTAAAGGTAAATGTTCTGAAAAAGCATTTTTAATGAATAGACTGAAAATGATTGAATTGATCTTCAGCAGCACCCCGACATAAGCACGAAAGCCTGTGTTGATCTGGCGGCAGAGAAGAAAGCAGCTTTTAAAGGGTGATGTTGAAAACAGCTGGTTCATATCGGAGTACTCCATGGATTATTCAACAGAATCCTCGATTACTGAAATATTTGATAGCAGCAGCTCTGTAGATTGACGTTTTCAGAAATGTATAACAATGCCAAAGACAAAAGGGGGTAAAATTATATGTTCAAAAGTCAACTTATTTGCATTTCACACACAGAAAAGTAAGGAGGGCCATTTCTAAATGACAAACAAAACATTAAAAAGACCAAAAATAATCCTTTCTGCATTAATGTCAAATGTGACATAATTTTGGCAGTTTTTCAGAAGTCAAGTAAATTATTTTTGTGATTCAGCAAAACCAGAAATGTAATTATTTTATGATTATCACGTTGTTATGAATTAATTACTGACCAGCTTTTTCATATTTAAAGTGACAATATGCAGTTTTTTACCATTGATCTTTGGAAATATCCATCGAAATGTTGATGAAAATGAATGAAATGATGCCCAATTGCTGAAAAATATTGGCGTTGTCGTAACATAAAACCATAAAAATCAGATCTAAAATACATGGGAGCGGGTCTACATATCTGGGCGACGCCATATTAGACCCCCTGTTTCCTTCTACGGGAGCCCGTGAGGACAAAATGCATTTACTAATTTGCAACAAGCAGTTAAATTCAGAAACGTTGTTGATTTACCTCTTCACTCCTTGCCAGTGACGAAAAGGAGTCTAATGTGCTTGTCATTTTGCTGGAAGGTTGAACAATCCAACAAAGTACTTGTTCGAAAATTGCGCTCCCGGGGATTTTTGACCCTAATGGCCATCCGTTGGTAAGGTCTTACTCGAACACAAAAATACTGCTGGATAGATATGTACTGCCCCCTATCGCCAAGGGAAATACACACCGTCACTTTAAACTATAACACAAAATATTAAAGAATGCTTTTAAGTAAACTATTTCATAGCAAGTCTTCAATAACTAATTCCTCTTGCCAATACATTTGCCACAATAAAATAATCTGTCAGGTTTTCCGTAACAGCATTAAAGGGATACGAGGCTTGCCTTTACCACTCCCTAGTGTCCGTTATTAAATCACCGTGGTTATATCGAAAATGAAACTCATCTCCTTGCTGTGAGTTTGTCTTTTTTAACACCTGAAACAGCTGAAATGTCTCCTCAGCTTTCATTAGTTTTTAGAGGAGCGATTCATCAAATAAATCAGCTGTGTTCACCATCTAAAACATGCTGGAAGCAGACTCCATTCCACAGCTCCCTCCACCAGCAGGGAGCAGCCTGCCAACTCTAAAGTTGCGATTTTCTGGCCAGAGAGGGCGGTGGGGTCATAACGTTTCATTAACTCTGTAAAGGGTAATTTTAGCACATACTGGCTCAAGAAAATGTTGCATAGTATCTCTTTAAATCAACATGTGACGTAAAAATAAGGTGAAGTGTATAAAATATGCTTCACATCTATATCTGTTCTGGTGATCATCAACCTATTAGCATCTTTAGTGATGGATTCTCCACAATGACTCACCCATGAAGTTTAGATAGCCTTCTCCGCCCAAACCGTGTGTGAGGAGGCGGATCATCTTATGCAGCTGCATTCCACGGTCGGTAATAGAGGACATGGGAATCAGGGTGCTCATGTTGGTGTACATTTCCTTGTCCATTAGCCAGAAGGCCAGGGTCTTATCACCAACCAGAGCCTGAAAATGTGTGTGATATTCCATTATTCACAGCAGAGGCCATTTGCACTGTAAAGTAAGATAGCAGAAGGAAGCCTACTTGATCGTGACTCTCTGCATAGGCGATGCACTTCTCTCCATAGCGCCTGTTGGTCAGTGTGTGTACAATATTACCCATGTTCCAGTCTTCATCCTTAAACTCCTTCAGGATCTACACAATGACAGAGAGGTGTTATTGAAAATGGGTATGATAGATGTACAGCTGAGAGATCTATTCAGGCTCTGACTGATGCCTTCAGCTCAGCATTTCAGTACTGGCACTCTTTCTACCTTTCCTAAGTTTTCTCAGGGTTACACTTCTTTCTGAGATCAATCTCTGTTTTGACATCTCTATATCCACACTGTGAGTTATGTCTACCTATAAATGGTTGTAATGGAGTTTTTAATAACTGCACTACAGCCCATGGGTAGTAAGGCATCAGCTCTGCCGGCCAAAGATGGGCAAGGTCAAAACCTCTCATCCAAACGGGAGGATTCAACAATAAATCCCACCGTTGTGTCAATGCCGCTGCACTGGACTGCCAACATGCACACACACTGTCAATGGAGTCATTTTCGGAGGTCAGACAGAGACAGGAGGTCACCTAAGGAAGCCTCACATCTCAAAGACAGAGCTGAAATGCGTTTGTACTAACCCCATTCGATTATGAGCCCTATACAAAAAACTTAATAGCAAGGGGCAGAGAAAAAAACAACAACATTCAACTGCAGGGAGCACAAAGATAATTCAATGAACTCGAGAAGCTATAAAGCCACAGAATCGGAACAAATATGGGAGGGAAAGAAGGAGCTGTCCTCCAAGAAACCTTGGTAATTGACATGCAGCTTGTCCGACTGGTGGGTGAGTTGGCAAATCCATTTCAGAGACAGGTTGAAGTCTGCTCAGTGGAATTGGCACTGACAGCTGATTGACATGTCAGGAAACCTTTATATTACTCTACAGAGCCATAATCCTCTGGGTAAGGAGAGTAAATTGTGCCGATCAATATGTCTGAGATAAACCGAGGGGTCCAGCTGAATAAAGGCTGAATAAAGGCTATAATGTTCTATATCAGCATCTGTTCACATTCAATTTTCTTCACCTTTGCCTTGTGTGGCTACAATCATTGCCAGTTCCATCATAAACACTTCACTGAAGCACTTATCAACAGAATGTCAGTGCTTTAACTCCTTGTGACCTTGATACACTCTTGTATCCTTGAGAGAAGCCTTACAGGTAAATCGTTATGATGACGATCAACATAAAAAATAATCTGCACCTTGACAGTGAGCCTTTTCTACTTTAAGGGACTTTATATAGTTTAAGAAGGCTATAAGCAGGTAAGAAAAATAAGAATGTGTGGTTTTCTTAGGTCATTTAACAACATCCTTTAATTTTAAGAAGACTCTAAAATCATAAAAACACCATCAAGAATTATATATTGCAGAGTGAAAGGTGTCATATTCAGTCAGGGTTAGGATTAGGCCTTGTTCCCTGTGTGCACCAATCAGCGAAAACATTTCAACCAATGACAGGTGACATGAAAACCAACTACAAACTCATTACACGAGCAAACTGAGGAAGAAAAATGTGAGACAGAAGCTTTTTTTGTGTGGCGCTCTAGGCAACGCTCTGCTGAGAAACCTGTAGTTCAACCGTTTGAGTGCATGTTCCTTTCTTGCATCCCACCTACCTAAATGCCACTGCTGACCAAGCATATCCATTCCTGGAGACTATGCAACAGCTTATTTAGTCTCTTTTAGTGGGATAATGCACCCTGAAACACAGCAAAATCAGTCCAAGAATAGCCAGAGGAGCACATCAACAAGTCTGAGTTATTGACTCTGACTTAAAGAGACAATGTGTAGTTTTTTTACCATTAATTTCTGGAAATATCCATCAAAATGTTGAAAATGAATTAAATGATGCCCAGTTGTTGAAAAATATTGGCGACTTCGTAACATATCACCATAAAAATCATGTCTAAAAACATGGGAGTGAGTCTAAGTCTCTGGGCGACGTCATATTAGACGCCATATTTCCTTCTACGGGAGCCCATGAGGACAAAATACATTTACTGATTTGTAACAAACGGACACAAACCTTTCGTCATTCTTACATGTTGTTTTACACATTAAACTCTTCACTTGTTGCCAGTGATGAATGGGAGTCTGATCTGTTTGTTATTTTGCTAAAGTTTGCACTCCCCATGGCTTTTTGACCCAAATGGGCATCTGTTGGTAAGGTCTTACTCTAACACAAAAATACTGCTTGCCTGCAACAGTTTAGGTATCTACTGCCCCCTATCGCCAGAAAAATACACACTGTCACTTTAAACTTGTGTTGTGTACTTTTTGGCACGCAAAAGGTGGTAGAAGAAAGCTAGGAACAGCATTGGTTGGAACAGATTATCAGAATTCAGATTATTAAACTGAAAAATGGTCAGTTAAGAAATTAGCTAGACTAAAAAATGGGGATGGGATATGGGACACATAGTTCAATCAGGCTTCTATAAAATACATGTTTTTTCCACTTGTACACTATACATTTTATTAAAATAACCATTCTTTTTGAGGTACTTTAACAATCCACATTGATGAGCATATTGGCGGGGTGGGGAAAGAGGGGAATTTAACTTACAACCTTTCAGACAGATGTTAATCTACCCTGCAGCCTGTATGGTATCTGTTAAAAGTTAAATATATTAGCACTTAACCAGACTGAACATTTGTGCGTCAAACTGATCTTAATACTTAATTGATCAAACATCTTAATGTGCCTCTACATGTTAAAGCACTCAAGCAGGAAAACAATCTAAACGAGGTCATGTAATGAAGATTTCACCTGGCCGCCAACTTAGACTCACTGGTGAATTCAAAGTTAATTACTAAATCTTTTACCTCGTTCAGTGACACAGACTTCACAGCAAGGCTGATGGACTTTGTAGCATGCTACATTTGTCTGAACAAAAATGAAAGAATAAAGGATGCACCTATGTGAGCTGTTCTTAAAGTTAATCAAGAAATATCAAACTGATTGTTGTTTCAGTGCTATCAAGGGCTGTACCTGAACCTCCTGGGAGCTGAACCTTTGTTTGGTGTATTTTTTTTATTATTTAATTTTCAGGTGTTGGCATAACCTCATAAATAGAAAAATACTATGTTTCTAAACAATTAGAAGCTAAAATAAATTGATTTAAAACCACAACTTTGTTAATAATGCCAGGACTACACATAACACAAAGGTCTCAGGTAGGGCTGTCACAATAATCGCAAGAACAATATATCGCGATATTAAGAAACCCACCGCGCTGCATGACGTGCCACCGCAATTACCGCACTTGATTAAATCTCGCGACAGCACATGCTGAGAGGTAAAGTCCACGCTGATCGAGGAGATAGTAGGGCACTTTTTTTTATTTCTGTTAGATGTTGCAGCCAAATTTGCATTTCAAAGTTAAACCTCCTGAATGTTGTTTTTAAGTTCAGTCAGAGAATGCTGTTACTGCCCTTTGATCTGCTTTCAATAAAGTGTTAAAAATGGCCATGTATTTTTTTCTAACATTTTTTAAATGTGCAAGCACAATGTTTCAAAGGAAATATTGCCATGAGTTTAGTAATTAACAAACAAATTTGCTAAGTACATAAATAAAAACGAGGTGCAATAATATTGCATATCGCAATATTGAGCTGCCCTGACTCACTGCAGGGGGAATTCCTCAATCGCGACAGCCCTAGTCTCAGGAGGTGATTATTCTACAAGAGGAAAAAGTGTGATTACAGTGGTCCAGGGATACAGAAAAGTAAATATAAGGCTAGAATACACAATAATACTCAAATACAATAAAGTTATTAATAATGGTGAAAATAAGACAAACTATCAACTCTGTATGTCATTTGTCAGCAAGATACTACTGGGCAAAATTATACTTGAGCTCTTTTTACAGGACCATAGCGTTTGCAAAACGGGATTTGCCGCGGCTCCCTGGGGAGGATAAAGGTCGTTTATAAGACCAGACCATGGTGGTAATGTGGCACAATCGTGGCAATTTTATAAAGATTAGGTGATGGTGGCATAAAGGAGGTATGGGGGCGGTCTCTGCGCTGCCGCAGACTTCCGTTTATCTTGGACATAACTAGCTTTTTATTGCGATTGAAGCCGTGATCATCACGTTTTTTTTAATAAGCAGCTCCTAAAGGTGTCAGTCCCTGTGCAGTCTCTGGTGATCTGAGCTTCAGCTTAACAGAGAGGCTCATGGAGCGCTGCGGCGCTCCAGTTTGCCATCTCAGCTGATTTTGTTCAAAAAGCAAACCTCATTGCCTGTGTTTACTTTCATTTTCAATAGATTTGCCAGCCGGAGCCCAGCAATAACTCCCCAAGTCACCATGACATCTGCCTCTGTAGCGCCAGGGCGCATACGACAGACCATTACCGCAATATTCCTACCAAGCGAGGCGGAACGAATGCCGCAAAATTTACGCAATGCCATACCGGCATGGCGCGTTTATAGACATACCATTGCGGTAACATTATGCCAATTTGCCGGCATGGTGTGTCATTAAAGAGGCTAAAGAGAGTTATGGAACCTGATTGGTATGCAACTGAGATGAGTTCCTGCTTTCTGTGGAACATTGGGGTTGAAATTGTGTTGCTAAAGGAGATCTGGTAAACAACCAGTGCATTATTACGTGGGTAAGTGATGGACTTTTAAAATAACCTGATTTGACTTAACCTAGCCAAACCTAAGCTAACATGGTCCATTATAACACGATCCAACCTAACCCAACTTTATCCGACTTAACTTCACATGATCTAATGCAGCGGTTCCCAAACTTATTTAGCCGCGCACGCCCTTTTATGTCCCGACCATGTCGACGCACCCCCCAGCCCCCACATCATGGCATGGCTATATATATATATATATATATATATATATATATATATATATATATATATATATATATACACACACACACACACACATATATATATATATACACACATATATATATATATATATATATATATGTGTGTGTATATATATATATGAAAGGGTTAAAAATATGATCGACCTTTTTCCCCATCACTTTCATTTTTTAAATAGTAATTAATAAACATTCGATACCATTACAATTTCCTTTGATTTAATTTTAAATCAATATTTAGAGTGC